AAAATACCAGTGTTTTGCACATGCTACTTAAATCTTCCAAAATATTACACACTTACCTAAAATATTGGCACCTGGCTGCTAAAATTACCCGGTGGGCAGGAAAACGTTTCTTCTCCACAACAAACGTGACATCGCCATACTCTTCTCCAATCAACAAGGCACCGATATGTTCCGACAAAATATGCACATGATCAATCTCCCCCACTGCAGTGAAGGGCCGGAGAGGGTGGCTGTTACTCATCTTGTCAAACCGGTAGTCGCTGATCTATTACAGAAAGGGGATCAGAGTCAGTAGAGGAAGGAGAGCACACTTAGCTGTGTTTATGGTGTGTGATTCTCCTTAAGTAAAACTTTAAAGTGCTTTTTATAAAAAGCTCATGAGAGAGAGAATATGAATCATCGGTGATCTCTTTATTAACTGATTTATTCTGGGAAACAATTCATCTCCACTAACTCACTACCTTCACACCTCATCACACCAGCAAAGCAAAAATGACAGGTTCTTAAACACTGAGAGCATTTGGAGCTACCACAATCTAGACAACTAAAACCAATACAGGTCTGTGGGTTTGGTTTGTTTTGTTTTGGCAGCACTGGAGACTGAACCCCCAGGGCTTTTGCACTAAGCCATACCCTCAGCCCCTTTTTCTTTTGGAGACAGGGCCTTGGTAAGTTGTTAAGGGCAGGGCTCAAATTTGTGATTTTCCTGCCTCAGCCTCCCAAAGCACTGGGAGTACAGGCATGCACCACCATGCCTGGCTAAGGTACCTTAGGAAAATGAAAATCAACATTTTCTTAGAGTAGATTTATTTAATAAGGTCGGGTACATCTATGCCCAGAAAACCATTCAGGCGTAGATCTAGGCCTCAGTTACAAACAGAATGAATAAAATAATCAGATATCATATAAGATATTTTAGTCTGAAAACATCTTAAATATTTTATAAAAATAATCTGAAGCAACAAAACTTGGTATTTACTAATGAAAGTTCATAGTAGGAGCCTAAGCCCCTTTCAAAACAAGAGTAACCCTGGCCTTTTCCTCAAGACTGTAACTTGCATTCCAGACTTGTGTCGCTGATGACCAGGGTGCCAGTGTGCACCAGAGAGTCATCACACTTTACCTCATGCACCCGCACTTCCCTGATTCCCCACAAAATAACTGAAAAATACAGGGACTAAAGCTGGTTAACGGCTTTGCATGTTAGAAAGGGGAGTTATCTTAGAAAGCCGAAAACGTTTTTATTTTTAAATCCCTAATGTATTTGTAGGTTCTGCTCTTCCAGGTGTAATGACCAGCAGTTGAGTGAGAGCCTTCATAGCATTCAGTGCACTAGGAAAGTCATCCATTAGCTGAGGTGAGCCCTCACCCCTCTGCCGCACCACACAGCGAGAAGTGAGCCCCTTACCTTCTCTCCGCTTGCCCTCCACCCCTTCTCAAACTCTACCTGGACGAGGATGAAAGGTTCAGCGGCAACTCATCTTTAAGCTTCTATAGCCAAATCTATTATTAGCAAGGTGTATAAAGAATAGTCCATGTCCTCCAACTGCAGTGAAGATCCTCACAGACCAAGTTCCTTAGCTACCTACTATCACATACCCAGCCTCAATAAAGGACTGTGATCCAGGAGAAACAGAGGACGAGCTAGGCAAGGAAACCCCCACCCCAGGTAAGTGAGCGAACTTCTGGTCCCTCACGGTAGGAGCAAACTGTCATTAGGGCCACAGCAAATCCATCTCCCTCAGTTGCTAAAATATTATTACCAAATATATAATCTCCAGTCACTTGTGTGAAAACACCACATTCAGCTTAAAAAGGTTTATTTAGGAGCGTCAACAGGTAACGTGTGATACAATAATATAATGTTTAACACAAGAACCTAACACAGGGACAGGCAAACTTTCTGCAAAGGGTCAGAAGGTAAATATTTTAGGCTCTGACCACTATACCACTTTTGTCATAACAATTTAACTCTGCCGCAGGCAGTAAGTAATAAATAAACATGGCTATTTTCCCATAAAACTATTTACAGAAAAAGAGCTGGATTTGGCCCACAGGCCATACATAGCTTGACAATCCCTATTCTAACATGTGATCAAAACTGACTACTCTCTAGACAAAAGATCAGATAGGGTTTTTTGTTGTTGTTATTTGTTTTTTGTTATTTTGGTCTTTTTGAGACAGGGTTTCGCCACGCAGTCCAGGCTGGCCTTGAGCTCACTTTGTAGCCCAGGCTGGTCTCAAACTCAGGACGATCCGAACCTCCTGCCTCAGCCTCCCAAGTGCTGGGATTACAGGCATGCGCCACCACACCCAGCCAGATAGGGTTTTTTAAAATGCTTCTGTTGGGTTACCCAGTTTATGTTCTAAATAACACGGTCATTTCCTGTGTTGGTCATGGGACTCTAAAAGCTACTGGAACCTAACTTCAAAATCCCATTCTTCTCACCTGGAATACTCACATTACCATCTACTATTTCAGTCATGATACAGGACTCTTAACACATTTTCCCCTGGCTGAAAGGATGCAGTGCATACGTCTAATAGATATAGTCTCTGGCATAATATTCTCTTAATATTTTATCTAGGTCATAGCTAAGACTCAAACTACTGACTAAATGAATCTTGCTGAACAAAGATCGATTTTTGGTTAACTAGCTTAGAAGAAAAATTTACAATTCAACTCACTTATAAACATTAATACTACACATGTAAATATTTTGCTTAATAGGTTCTGTAAATCTTTACTCTCAATACATGTAATTTCATTTTGCTAAATTTACATTTTAATTATGTTTTTCCAAATGAAGACATAAAGAGAATATTGCTGGGTACAGAAAATAGCCACTTAGTGTGGAATAAACACAATTTTTATTGGCATACGGAAATAATTTTAATTAGACTAGTGATTCTCAACAAGCTTCCCACACATTGGGACCACATGGGGAGATTTAAAAAAAAGAAAAAGAGATGCTTGAGTCCTACCCATCAGAGAGTCTTATTTAATTCATCTGGAATGGGGCCCAGGCACTGGAATCACCCTTCTGAAGTGATTCCGGTGAACAACATGGAAAAGAGCCAGTGATTTAGATTATCGCTGTAGATACATGTACGATTTGGATGTGATTTGTTCCCTAAGGCTCTGTGTGCTGGAGAGTTGGTCCAGGGGGTGGTTGGTGTTAGGAACTGGTCTGTAACCTTTAAGAGGTGAGGCCTAGTAGGAAGTCCGTAGGTCACTAAGGAAGTTCCAACAGATGCAGGTAGTTCTCACGGGACTCCTTGGTACTTTTTACTAGAAAAGGAGCAAGACTGGACCCAATCACCCCTCTGGCTTCCTGTTTCAAGATGTCACATCTTGGGGCTGGGGATTTAGCTCAGCGGCAAAGCGCCTGCCTGGCAAGTGCAAGGTTGTGAGTTCGGTTCCCGGTACCGGAAAAAAACCAAAAAAAAAAAAAAAAAAAAAACAAAAAAAAAAAAACAAGATGTCACATCTTATTCCTGCACACATTTCTGCCATTGTAACCCAACTGACTATGAAGTTCTGGGACAAAGCCAGTGTCATACCCTTGAACCCCCAAAGCTGTGTGCTATATAAACCTTTCTTTATAAAGTTAGCCCACCTCAAGTATTTAATTATAGTAGCACAATGCTGACTAATACAGTTCACATCCCTTGGACGTGCAAATTCACAAAAAATATCCACTGAGAAATTCAGTCTCTTTTTAATATTATTGTGAAGAGGCAAATGGTGTTATCAAAGTTATCAATGCCACAGCTTATATGTAGAACAGTTTGTAGGACACAAGCTTTTGCAAAAGGGAAAAGACCAAGAGATGGGGGAAGGTGGGAGGGAACAAAGGGGAAAGAGGTTAAAAAAAAAAAGCATTAAAACGTGTCACATACATGTACCAACTCCTCACAATGAATGTAACCATTATGTACTGCAAACATGTACTAATAAAAAAATGAAAAACCAAAAGTGTTAGGAATCGCATGCTAATAAGTTAAATTTCAAATGACCAAATTAACTTGATAATAAAATTGGAAAAAGACTTAAAGTTCATAGAATAAAACTATGTAATGACTTTCTCCAGCTTTGTGAGTTACTCTGCCATTAACTATGTCTGTGACCTCTGACAAACTTCCACAAGAGTATTTCCACAATCATAATAACAAGCTTATAGTCCAGTGATGGTGAACCTTTTAGAGACGGAGTGCCCAAAATGCAACCCAAAACCCACTGATTTATCACAAACTACCAATATTGCAATTAAATATTCTGAATATTCGACACTCAGCAACTTGGCTTGTTTGCTGGCAGAGAGGGGTCTGGGTGCCTGCCACAGTACACATGCCACACATCTGTCAACTGTATAGTTGATCATTTATTTTTTCAAGTTACATTTTATAGTTCTACCACACTGCCTTTTAATATTTGTTTGATCCTATAAAATCAAGATATTTCAGCTATAAAACGAAAATATAACATGTAAAATCAAAGTTTATGAAGAGGATTGGAAGTCCTTAAAGGTTTGGACAAATGCATGATTACTGGTACTGACAGACCCGAAGGTGGCCATCTTCTACGCCTTTTGACACATACCACCTCCCCACTGAGAAGTAGATTCCATTCTTTCCCCTTGAGTCTGAGATAGCCACAAATCACTTTATTTTTATCTATTTTTTGTAGTACTAGAGCGCAAACCCAGGTCATGCATGCTAACCAAGTGCTCTACCACCAAGCTACATTCCCAGTCCTTTTTATTTTTTATTTGAAAGCAAGAGTCTACATTGTCAAGGCTGCTCTTGACCTTGCAATCCCTCTGCCTCAGCCTCCCCAGTATGCAGGCATGCACCACAGCATCCAGCTTTGGGACCACTTTAACCAACAGAAGTGAGGTTTTGATAAAGTAGGTAGTTAGCTAGCCATGAAATGAGCTAAAAGAACAGCAGCTAAGCCTGAAAGGCAAAACTTCAAGGAGACAATGGGCTGAGCTTCTTGACTGCAACTGAATTTACAGTCTGAAAATTCCCTGAGGGGGCTCAAGGCAGCCCTTCTAGGGACCCCACACACGTGTGCACCTGAGGGACTCAAGCTCCCAGCTGGCTCCATTAGCCCCTCTACTGTAACCCAATCAGGCTTCATTTACATGTGGTTAGCATGGAAATTTTGACCCTCTTTTGGAGAGGCCTCTTTGCACTTGGGCTTTCTCCAGGCTGCTGCACCCCTTCCTTGGGAGCATACTGTCCCTGTTAAGCTACTGC